CCCCAAAACCCCAAAACCCCAAAACCCCAAAACCCCAAAACCCCACGATATATTCTAAGTATGGAATTATTTTAATCAGGCTATTTCTCATTCTGTGCTGTAATTATAGCTTTCACTGAGGAGGTGAGTAGCTCTCCTAATTTCCTTTCCATCAAGTTGTAGCAAACTTCTACATAGAAATTGCCCTTAGGCTCCTCAGATTCTTCAAGAAGGTCAGGCTCTCTGGTCTCAATGGTGATATAAGACTCAAAGATTTCTTCTAGCTTTGTACTAAGATTCTCTCTATCGGCGTTGATCTTTGTCTTATTTAGAAATGCCTCCTTAAGATCGATCTTGAACTGATCAAGAGTGCTTTTGTAGAAGAACCATTGGTTCCATTTTATCAAGACTCTCACTCTGAAATACCTGGTGCTTGAATTAAGGATGGTTTCAATGTCTTCTTCTTTGTCCTCTTCTATATCTTCCATCTTTTTATCAAGGTCATCTTCTATCTGATTTTTATTGTCTATAGAGTTACACAGAGGATATTTACAGTCTCCATTCTGGAGTTTCATGTAATGGTGATAGACAAACTCAGCACTTGTCTGGAAAATAGCCTTTTTGTTCTTCTTGCAAAAATCTGATAAGATTACGTTTGGAATCACAAAGTCACTCTCGGCCAATGAAGAATTGGCATAATAATAATTCAGCAGATTGAGAGAGATCTTGAAAGGGATCTTCTTAAGAACAGGGATTGTAGTTATAGAATGATTTTCTGGATCAAGACAGTTAATCTTCAAGACCTCTGTAACTTTCTTTTTCAAATCTAACATTCCTTCCTTGTCACCATGGACAAGCATGATGTTATTTGGTTTGAGGTAGTTTAGAAACTCCATGATACCTTTGGAGTCAACATGAGCACTGAAAGACATTGACATTACTTTACAGTTGATGTTATACATCTTCTTGTCAATTTCAATCTTCTTTTTCATGTTGAGGACCTTGTTTCCAACTGATCCTGGAGAGCAGTATCCTGGAATAATGACTGTGTTCTTCTCATCTCCTCACCATTCTTTAAAGATATTCAAGGAGGTTCCAGTGTTCATCATTCCTGGTGTAGCAAAAAGGACCATTGGAGTTGAAGAATTAACCATATGCTGTTCAAAGTTTTTAACATGTTTGAACTCGAACAAATTCTTTCCCTCAGACACGAAAGATTTCTTGATCTTTTCATTTGTCCAATTTGTAAATAATTTATAGTAAAAATTCGCTTTCTCAGTTAAGCCTCCTGCAAAATAAATAGGATATTTTATACCAGTCCTGGTCCAATAAGTCTCAAGAAGGATACACAGTTCTTGGGCTCTTCCAAGTGCAAAGACCGGGATTAAAACTTTGCCGCCTCCGTCTAATGTTTCATGAATGATCTTGAAGAACTCTCTTTCTCTAGCTCTCTTAGGGTCTCTAATAGAGTTAGCATAAGTGGTTTCTGTCATTACAAGGTCTGGCTTAAGAGGCTCTATCCAGGCTCCTCCAAGATGTCTATCTGCTGTCATATTGTAGTCTCCTGTATATACAACTCTATGGTGTTAGGACTATGGGCTTACGATATTCCATTATACTCGATATAGAACATAACTGCTCCTAGAACGTGGCCAGCATAATATGCTTTCAGCTTGATCCCATTGATTTCCATGGTCTCATGAAGTTGGATGGTCTTTCATCTCCGAATGCATCTATTAATCATCTCTTTGGTGATTCTGCCAGGCTCAAACATAGAGGACTCATTCTTTGGAGAAGAAGCCATGGGAGGATCCCCATAAGAGTAAGGGTAATTTCCTCTAGCTTCTTCTTCAATTCCAGGCTTTTGTTGAGAGCCCATCCCTCCATAATTCTGTTTTGAAGATTTTGATAATTTCTTAGCATCCCTTTCTTCTATTTTTCTGGCATCTTCTAACATAAGCGGAATGATTGCCTTGGTTGGGTGTGTCATAATGATGGGACCTAGATATTAAAGAAACACTAAGATATAATCTTACCTGTGTATCCAAATTGTTCTGTAAAGTAAGGCAAAGCTCCACAATGATCATTATGAAAATGAGTAATCAACACAAGATCAATTTCTATATCTAGTCCAACATTCTTATCCTTCAAAAAGTTAAAATTAGGAAACTTCTGATCACTCGCCATATGAATTCCTCAATCAAGCATGATATTCTTATCATCAATACATAAAATAATACAGCTCCTGCCAACCTCTTGGCCAGCGCCGAGAGGGATCACTCTGAGAGACATCTTTATTTTATTAGATTTTAGAACTTGGGGTTTTGGGGTTTTGGGGTTTTGGGGTTTTGGGGTTTTGGGGTTTTGGGGTTTTGGGG